CAACAAATGGGTCTTGGGAAAACTGGACAGCAACATGCCAAAGATGAAACTGGACCACTTTCCTACACCAAACACAAAAATCAACTGAAAATGGATTAGACACCTAAATGTGAGACCTGAAACCATAAAAATCCTAGAATAGAATGCAGACAGTAACGTCTGATACTGGCCATAGCAACTTCTTTCTAGATATGTCTCCTGAGGCAAGGGAAACAAAAGCAAAAATAAACTATCAGGACTTGATCAAAATAAAAAGCTTCTGCACAGCAAAGGAAACAACAAAACTAAAAGGCAACCTATGGAATGGGAGAAGTTATTTGCAAATGACATATCAGATAAAGGGTCAGTATCCAAAATATATGAAGAACTTATAAAACACCCGCCAAAATTAATAACCCAATTAAAAATGGGCAGAAGACATGAACAGACATTTTTCCAAAGAAGACATACAGATGGCCAACAGATACATGACAGGATGCTTAATCACTCATCATCAAGGAAATACACATTAAACCTACAATGAGATATCACCTCACATCCGTTAAAATGGCTAAAATCAACAACACAAGAAATAACAGGCATTGGCGAGCATGTAGAGAAAAGGGAACCCTCTTGCACTGTTTGTGGGAATACAAACTGGTGTAGCCACTCTGGATAACAGTATGGAGGTGCCTCAAAAAGTTAAAAATAGAACTGCCCTATGATCCAGTAATTGCACTAGTAGGTATTTACCCAAAGAATACAAAAATACTAATTCAAAGGGATACCCCAATGTTTATAGCAGCATTATCTATAATAGCCAAATTATGGAAATAGCCCAAGTGTCCAGTGACTGATAAGCAGATAAAGAAGATGTGGAATTTATACAATAGAATATTATTCCCACCATAAAAAAGAACGAAATCTTGCCATCTGCAATGACATAATGCAGCTAGAGAATATTATGCTAAGCAAAATGAGTCAGTCTGAGAAAGACAAATACCATGTAATTTCACTCACTGTGGAATTTAAGAAACAAAACAAATGATCATAAGGGGAAAAAGAGAGAGGGGCAAACCAAGAAACAGACTCTTAACTACAGAGAACAAACTGATGGTTACCAGATGGGAGGTGGGTGGGGAATGGGTGATATAGGTGATGGGGATTAAGGAAGGTACTTGCTGTGATGAGCACCTGGTGTTGTATGGAAGTACTGAATCACTATACTGTACATCTGAAACTAACATTACACTGTATATTAACTAACTGAAATTTAAATAACTTTTAAAAATTCAAGGATTTTAACTGATTCTTAACTTCTCCTAAAAAATTATATTAATATAAAATTTTCCAGGGTAGTTCTTAAGTCAAATTATTCTGGTTGTATGATCTAATACAGGCATTCATTTACACTAATAAGTGCTTTATGTGCATGAAGTTATTGAATCCACACTATTAACTCCAAGATCCAGAAATTATTTTAGTCATTTTTACAAATAACAAAAGTGAGGCTTGGAGATTTTAGGTAACTTGTTTAAGATCATGGAGCTAGTAAATGGTAGAACTGAGACTTCAGTCAGTCTGTCTGATGACAAATCCTTGCTCTTAACCCACCCTCTATTCCAAAAAACATCAACTACTTTCAGTTGCCAAAAAGAGTTCCCTTAGTTACTACATTTTTCTTCTTGTTTAAAAGAAGATAGCCAACTGTTATCAAGAATAGCTAGAATGGGGCGCCTGGGTGGCTCAGATGGTTAAGCGTCTGCCTTCAGCTCAGGTCATGATCCCAGGGTCCTGGGATCAAGTCCCGCATCGGGCTCTCTGCTCCTTGGGAGCCTGCTTCTCTCTCTCTCTCTCTCTCTCTCTCATGAATAAATAAATAAATAAAAAATCTTAAAAAAAAAAAAAAAAAAGAATAGCTAGAATGGAATAGCTGCATCAGAAATGGGTTCATTTGTCATAACATTCACTTCTCTGCACAAGCCCTGTCACATTCTCCCTTAGAAGTGATTGTATAATCAGAGGTTAAATTCTCAGGCCAACCCTCAAAAACTTGACTATCATTTAAAATAATATTTCTAGGTAAACATCTGGTAATTATAATAGGACAATACCACATCCTCCTCTGTCATACACCCCTGCAAAAAACAGGTACCCAATATCCCAAAGATAACATGAAATTCCTTCCTTGTCTTCCTCCAGCACACAACCAAGGATGATTTCACATCCCCTAGTCCCATCATGAGCTCCATTAGGAAAGGAGATTTAAACTGTGCCAGTTACTATGGAAGGTAAGGACAAAGCCAGGATAAAAGCATAGAATAAGAAAGTAGTAACATTTATTCATACTTGTAGTCAAGTCTGAAGACACTATTACTGTTACAGTTCAGTACAAAAACAGTTTTGTGTGAACTAGCCTGGAAGCCTAACTACTATATTGTACTTACAAAGAGATTGGGAACATAACCCACTCATAAATTGGAAACTACCAATATTCCCCAATACTCTCCATAATCTGCTGCTCCTTCCCAACTTTCTGAAAACTAAAAGCCTAGCATTTGTGAGCAAGAGGTGAAGGAGCTATGACTCCCTGTAACTGCATATGCACAAAAAAAGCTTTGTACATGAAGTACCGAAATCAGTGGAAGTACAGATGCTTTGGGAAGATAATACCAAAGTCATTCATCCAAGATACTTCAGTATTCCTCCCTTTTTAGTAAGGAGTTCCAGATTATGTTCAGGTCTTTGAAACTGGATTCATTTTCTCTTTTTTATTACCAGAGGTTATGCACTGAATGCTTGTGTCCCCCAAAATCATATGCTTAAAGCCTAATCCCCAATGTAAAGGTATTAGGAGTTGTGGCCTTTAGGAAGTGATTAGGTCATGAGGGCTCTGTCCTCATGATTGGGACCAGTGTCCTTATAAAAGAAGCCTGAGAAAACTCCCACCCCTTCCGACTTGTAAAGCCAATGACAAGGTGCTATCTATGAAGGAGGAAGAGAGCCCTCACAAAGACACAGGAATCTGCCAACACCATGATCTTGGACTTCCCGGCCTCCTGAACTGTAAGAAATAAACTTCTGTTGTTTATAAGCTACCCAGTCTGTGGTATTTTGTTAAAATAGTCCAAATGGACTAAGATACTAGAATTTTTTTAATGGTTTTAAACATTTTTATGGGATGTACATTAACATATTTTGCTGTGTTAATCTGATCAGTAAAAACAAACAGACATGTACAATAATACAATGCTAAAAAGAAAATAAATTCATTAAAAGTGTCTGTCTGGAGTGTAATTTAACAATAATTCCCAAAAGATTTATAAATGTTCACAGCTGTTGACTCAGTAATTCAACTTGTAAAAATGTATTCTAATAATCAGATTCATTCATTAATTTATTTAACAAACTATCAAGGACTTACCTTGTGCCAGGCATTATTCTTATGAATAAAGATGTTTATCACATCATATTACAGTGCCAAAAAGTTGTGGGGAAAAAATGTCCAATAATAGTAAGAGTTTTAGCAAATTAAAATATATCTCATGTATAAAATATTATAGTACCATTGGAAACATTATCAAATACCAAAAAAATATTTAACAACATAATAAAATACTCATAAAAAAAGAAAAAAAATTTAAAACAAGATACAAAACTATTATATGTAACTATATATAATTACATGTATGATCCCAAATCTGTGTTTTAAATGACCAAGCCAGGGACCTTGATCGAGTTACTTAACCTCACTCTATTTCAGTATCTTCTAAAACATCAAGATTTTACATTTTACATGTAAAATAAAGATTTTTTATTTCATATCTCAATGGACTGTTGAATGAGTTATTTTTTTAAATGCTTATAATATTCCCCCAGTACATATAAAGCACTAGTAATTATTTGCTGGTGTTATTGGTAGTAGTAATATTACATATACACACATATATTTATGCAAAGAAAAAAAGGAAAGAAATATATCAAGTGCTATCAAAGATTCTAAATTCTAACAAAACTAATTCTGAAACAGTTAGGAATTCTGAACACTACATATTATGAGATACTAAAAATTAACAAGGTATGGCTTTGTTTTTTAAAAAGTCTTTGTATCAGAGTGAAGTATGTATGAATAAAATATGATAGCTAAGATTTGCTTTAAAATACTTTGGAGGGGTTTACCTGTGGAGATTTTTTTAAAATTTTTAATGCTATCAGATGTATGTTATTTACCTCTGTGTAACAAAATTATTACTTGCTTTTCTTTTCTTTTCTTTTCTTTTTTTTTTAAAGATTTTATTTATTTATTTGAGAGAGAGAGAATGAGAGACAGAGAGCACGAGAGGGAAGAGGGTCAGAGGGAGAAGCAGACCCCCGCTGAGCAGGGAGCCCGATGCGGGACTCCATCCAGGGACTCCAGGATCATGACCTGAGCCGAAGGCAGTCGCTTAACCAACTGAGCCACCCAGGCGCCCGCTTTTCTTTTCTTTATGTTTTTCTATCTTCCAAATTATCTAGAGTAATTCAAAATTATTTTTTAAATGAGAAAATTTTGGGGGCACCTGGGTGGCTCAGTCGGTTTAGCGTCCAACTCTTGGGTTTTGGCTCAGGTCATGATCTCAGGGTCCTCAGATCGAGCCCTACATTGGGCTCTGTGCTCAGCAGAGTCTGCTTAAGATTCTCTGTCTCCTTCTCAGGGTTTTAGAGGGGAGGGGGGTGGGGGGAATGGGTTAGCCCGGTGATGGGTATTAAGGAGGGCACGTATTAAATGGAGCACTGGGTGTCATACGCAAGCAATGAATCATGGAACACTACATCAAAAACTAATGATGTAATGTATGGTGACTAACATAACATAATAAAATAAAATTAAAAAAAAAAAAAAGATTCTCTGTCTCCCTCCCGCTCTGCCCCTCCCTGTGCTCAGGCTCTCTCTCTCTCCCTCTAACATAAACAAATAAAATTTTCTTTAAAAAAAAATAAAGTGAGAAATTTTTTTCAAAAAATGTTAAGGAAATCCTTACCAATACTCCATCCACAGACGAAACTTTCTCCCAAGTTAACCAAGCTCTTTCTCTGACATGATCTGGTATCTTTAATTTCTGACATAATGCAGTAAAATCAGGTTCTTCGGTTTCTTCAAACACAAGCCTACCAGATAAAAATAGACATATAATAGGGATATACTTACAAATCAAACTAATTAAGTAAACATTTCTTTCAATGGTTTGCATATAACAGCGCTGTTCTGAAAAAAAAGCATCACTAAATACTTTAAAATCTTATTTATCTTTGAAAAAAATTACAGGTAGAATTTAAACATGTTTATCTTTTTCATAGTCTTTCCAACAAAAATACAACACAGTGAAAGATGTTTGCTGGCCTGGTAAATCACATACAGTTCAAAAAGCAAAACAGTTTTGTAAAAGTAAGTATGATAGCTAAAGCCGTATAGGAAAATTGGGATGACTATAACAGCACAAAGAAGAAAGCCCATATATAACATTACGACTCAATTTAGTATCAGTGACTTTGCTAAAATGCAGTCTACAACTTATCAATGTCTCACATAATCTCCACCTACTAGCATTTCTTACATGACGATTAACTTAACATAAATTACTGCTATGCTTATTTCAGCCTTTTCTCTTTGATCCTCCTTACCCAAGATAGGTAGTCAATAAATTCTTGTTGGCTAGTTCCTTTTCATTCATTTAATGTCTATCTCACACCTAATAATAATAATATGAGGAATACTTAATAATTTTTGAGTATTTACTCTAGTCCTGTCTGTACAAAGCACTTTAGGTGCATAGTTTCAGTGGAATCCACACATCAGCCTATTAGATAAGTATTCTTATTATCCTTGTTTTACAGATAAGTACCAAATCAGAGAAGTTAAAGTACTCACTCGAGGTCATGGCCAGTAAGTGGGAAACCCAACAGTTTAATTTAATTTAATTTTTAATCCATGCCTTTGACCACTATTCCAGACTGCCAACCCTCTTTCAAAACATAATTAACTTTTGATTATGTCAACAATGAAGGTGAAGTGCTGTTCCTAGTGAAGGTTTTCCTTCCAACTTCACCACTTACGCCAGATATAACGCAACAGAAAGAAGATCTCAACTGTCAAGGCAGAAACAGACTCTGTCACTGAAAGTGCAGGTGGAGTGGGCCCTGAATCCATCCCTAAGCAAGTTGCTAGGCTTCGGATTGCCTGTCACTAGTTTTTACCCTTGCTAAGCAGCTAATCTACAGAGTTCAACTGCCCATACTAGTAACCTTTTGTGGGTATTGATACGCAAGAGTAGAGTGTATCATGTATGCTTTTGACTTACAGGAGATTTTTTGATAGTTCCATCATTTAAAAGTATATAACATAATGTTGGGGTGGGGAAGAAAGGCATTCTTTTCCCCGGTGATGGCCATAATTTCAGTATTTCTGGGTTACCCTATAATAACTGGATAACATGGAATTCTTTAGAGTAGATTTACTGCTTTTTCCAAATGAAAAATTTCAAGTATTGGATACATCAGACCTTAATCAGAAATTAAATTGGTCTTCTCCCAGAACATCCTAGACTTTTTTTCTTCGTGAGTGTGATTTTTAACTCACATAAGACAATCCATTTAAACATATGTATTTTTAATAGCCTTTCACAGGCCATCCCAAAAGCCCATTCCAATTTTTTACAATTTGTCTGAACTCTGTTAGTGCCTGGCAAGTTGAAAGAATAGGACTTGGTAATGGGCTAGAACAGGGGAGGAAGAGGTGAGGGACTGAAAGGAATCCCATTCCTCCGAAATCGATATGTAGTCTCAAGGTAGAACCAGTACTGACAATAATAACGGCAATCGTACTCTTTCAGTCTTAGCTTCTTAACTATAAAGTATCACAATCAAGAAAAATAGGAATGTTGCAATGAAATAAATACCCCCCGTCATGTTCGACTTCATTATCATGGACTCGCCTAAAGTTAGATACCACTTGGGGGAAAAAAAAGTTTCATGTGAGCACAAGAACATCACTAATTTTGTACCCCCCCCCAAAAAAATGAGAGCACACAAGGTTGTTTCCTGGCTCAAAGGCAAAATGAAAGAAATAATGAAAAATGCTTAAGATTAATAATATACAAGAGTTTTATGCGACGGGAATAAAAGAAAAAGTTGAGACACTTTTAAGCATTTAGACTAAACGTCTTACAAAACTTTTTCCCATACACCAGTTCCTCTCAAGAGTTATGTTCCTCCAGTAACTACCGATGGCTCTGAATATAAGGGAGCGCCACAAAAACACCTCAGCCGAGTATCCTGGGGGCAACTGACACGCAGGACCCTGGACTTCACGTCCGATGGCTTTCCTGGTTGGCCTCTCCCAGGACTGGGCTTCAGATGCAGTGCACGCCCAGAGGAAAACACTTTCAGCGGTTGCATCGCAGAACACCAAAACAGAAAGTCAAACGACCACCGAAATACTTCAGATCTCAACAGGAGACAAACTCTCCAGCAGACACTGGTCAGTCCTTTTTCTTTTTTGCCTTTGATGGGGCCTCTAAATCACCCGCCGCCTGCAAGCCTTTCCGCCTAGAGGAGGGAAGGCGGCACCTGTCACTTTGCTCAGGGACCCGAGCCCCACCCGCCCGACACCTGTCAAGCTGGAGCCGAGACCCTTCCCGGCTTCCCTCCCCTCGCTCCCGAACCCAGACCCCTGTCACCCTCCTCCAGGCGCTCCGCGGTGGTGGGGGACACGGGAGGACCCTCCTCCCGCCCGGAGGCGGCCGCCCGCGGAGACGCGCCCCCGCCTAGACGCCGGGGCGCCCGCCCCGACGCACTCTCGGGGCGCCCTTCTCTCGTGGCGGCCGCCGCGGTTCTGCTCGCTCACCTGGGCAGAGGCAGGTCTTCGGGGCCGCTGTCCTGCTCGGGGTCCTCCTCAGGAGGGGGCGGCGGCGGCGGGGGTTCGGCGGCGGCAGCGGCGGCGGCGGCGGCGGCGGCGGCGGCGGCGGCGGCGGCGGCGGCGGCGGCGGCTGCTCTCCGGGGGGTTTTGGGCGGCATGACTCCCCCCCAGGGCAGGAGCCAGTGAATGGTGGCGAAGAGCCGGGGAAGGAGGACGCGCGCACGTCGGGGCACGCCCCGTCCTCTCCCGACTCCCGTTACAAAAATAATTTGAACGTCCCCTGAGAAAAACCGGACGAGCCCTCCCCCGCCCGGCAACCGAGCCCCGCGTCCAACCGCGGGAAAACGTCACTTCCGCCCGCGGCGTCACGTCCGCGAGGCTCCCGGGCCCGCCGGCATCGGGAGGGAACCGGGGTGCCGAGCGGTGCGCCGGGCGGGGGCGCGAGGTCGAGCGGGCTGGGCGTGGACCCCCGGCCTGGGCCAAGGCACCCTCCGTGAGGCAGCCGCCGCCGCCCGGACGTGTCTCCGCTCCAAACTCTCCTTTTCAGGCCTGCGTGCCGGTAACGGGGCACCGCACGGTCTGGCTGGTGAGATTGGGCCCCATTTTTATCTGTGGGCTGATCTGGGGCTGCAGTTCAGGCCCCGCCGGGAATATCGAGCGTGAGCACCCTGGGCGGTCACGCCCCTCTCCCTCGGTGGGCGGCGCCCTCCCTCTCCAGCACGCTCCTCCCGCCCAATCCGTTGGGCGGAATCGGCCAAAACAAAAACAAACGTTTGTAGAGCACCTAACAGAAAGTGAATTTTGACGGTCACTGGGAGGTATAAGGTGTAGAACAATTACTGGCCTTTTAGGGTCACTGTTCACAGAAGGGGAGTGGGGGAGTGGGTAAAGAACAAATTATAGTGTGATAAATGGTTTAATAGCGGTGTCAAAACGGGAGGCACCAACGAAACGTCTAAGGCACATCTTCAGAGAAGCGGTGGCAGCTCAATAGAAGTTTGCCAGGCACAGCTAACATGTAAGGAGGGCTTACTATGTACCGGGGATTGTGCTGGCCATTTTAACTATCTTAATCCTGGGTCCTGGGGTCTATTACCCGCCCCCCACCCCGGCCGTAGTGCTCACTGCTCAGCGGGAAGGCTGCTTCTCCCTCCGCCTGCAGCTCCCCTTGCTTGTGCTCTCTGTCAAATGAATAAATAAAATCTTTAAAAAAAAAAAATGCACCAAGAAAAGAGGAGCATGCGCAAAGGTACAAAGACCTCAGAGAAGAACTTGCTGGAAGAGCTTCTACCATCCAACATTGGTTTAGAAGCTACGTGTCTTCTCTCGTAATATTTACTATAATAATAGACTGTCTAGTATGAATACATGTTTTCCTCTCTTTGGCAGACCCAGCGGATTGCTCTGTCAGAACTTCCCAACTGAGGCACTGTGAATAAAATGTAGTTGTGTTCTTATGTGAACCCCCTCATCCTTGGAAGAGCTGACCAGGGTTGAGACAGCAGGAGCCTTCAGTCAAGTCAGGGTTGCAAACCTCTTGGGTTTATCTTAGCCAGTTGTACAGTGGATTACCATTTTCTGAATATACCATGATATATATGTCAGGATGTGAAAAGAGTTGGCAGTCACTGGCCTACTCAACAGCCAGTCTTGCCTAAGTTCAGAAGCCATCTGTTGGGGGCCAAAAGTTTGTCAGAAAGTAGGGCCCAAACCCAGCCCCAGCTCCAGAGAATGAACAACATCAAATTGGTAATCCTCTTCAATTTGCCAGGGATTAGTGTAGGTAGGAGCTCAGGATGTAGTTTTGGTCTTTGCAAGATCGAAGATCGTCTGCTGGCAGCCTGATAAAATCAGATACAGAGCTGACACGGTTCTTCTACCTTTACCTATTATCATGAGAATGTGACACTGAAACAGTCGCCGCAGCCATTGTGACTTCAGGCAAGCTGACCTGAGGATAAGGCAGAAATGTTAATGATGTTACAGTAGTAATATCAAAAACATCTGGATCCTCCGTGACAAATGAGTCTCTGATTTGACCCACCCTGGAGCTGACCTCAACTGAGCTGGGGTTTTCAGTTGTTTACACCGGAAAGCATTATGACTAATAATATGCATCCTATGAGCCCCTTCAGGGTAGAGACCAAATCTTAGGCTTTGTTGTAGCCTTATAGTAGCCAGCAGGGTTAGGCACCCAGGAAATGCTTGTTTGCTAACAGTAGAGAGGCCAGGAGAGCAGAGGAAAGTTCTGGGAACTGAAGTAAACTCTGTATGTAGATCTGACTTTCTTTAAAACCAGTTTATCAACCTCTGGATTTACCACAGTTGTGATAAATCAAAGACAGATTTCTCAATTTACAAAAGGTTGTATGTCTTTACCATGGATTAATTTAACTATGTTTCTCTACTACATTTAAAATCCTTACACACAACTCAGGAACATTGGGTCGATCAGAAGTTTTATATCTCCCACATGGCTTTCTGTTGCACAACCAAAGAAATATTAGAAATTCTGCAGATTCGGGCGCCTGGGTGGCTCAGTTGGTTAAGCGACAGCCTTCGGCTCAGGTCATGATCCTGGAGTCCCGGGATCGAGTCCCACATTGGGCTCCCTGCTGGGCGGGGAGTCTGCTTCTCCCTCTGACCCTCCCCCCTCTCATGTGCTCTCTCTCATTCTCTCTCTCTCTCAAATAAATAAATAAAATCTTTAAAAAAAAAAAAAGAAATTCTGCAGATTCTTAAAAGATGCTTTTCCTGATCTTCCTCCAACAGTGAAATCACTCTTTTAAAGGTTACCTATGTCCTACTGGTTCATTCAATGACTTCTTTCTGATCTTCATTCTACTTGACCTTTCTTGCAATTAACAGTTAACCACTTCTTCTTTCTTAAAACTTCCCTAGTTTTCCACAAATCCGTAGTCTCCTTTTCTTCCTCCTCCTCCCTTCTGTTCCTTTGTAAACTCCTCACTGGTTCTTCTCCGACTTCAGTGCAGGTTCCCTAGAGCAGCATGACTCAAAGTGTGTTCTTTAGACCACTGCCAGTTTGCTTATATCTTATCCACAAGGAAATAAGCACAGAAATTAAGAGTAAGTGCTTAGCAGCGTTGATAGCGATTTAATATTTCAGCTATATCCGGGCACATGATCTTTGAACACCTCTCATTAAACAGAATATGGAACAGTTCAGGTGTTTCGCAACTTGTGTGGTTGCAGGTGGCATGACTGTGTCCTTGTCCTGTGCAGGAGGACCATGTTATTAGGAATAAAATCTTAAGGTTAGTTTGTTAATTGTAACCCCAAAGTGAATACAAATCTATGAAAGTGTACATATCTGTTTACTTTTCTAACTTGTTATATTGAGAGTCATTTTAATTTTTAATCAAGCCTGTTTTTTGAAATTCATAGCTACATTAGGGAAGTAAAATTTGTATTATTTGTTTTTAACCCTAAATTATGGATGGTGAAATAAGCCTTACTGTCCTGTTTTGTCCAGAAAAGACACATGTCAGTAGTATGTTAGTAATAATAGTAGTAAACCAAACAATGACCAGAGAAGTGATTCTAAAGAATTAAAGATCCAAGTGTTTTTACTAATTTTATTCAGAAGTATCATCCCCCTTCTATTGAGTTCATAGCCAAAACTCATAGTAAAGTACTAAAACTGTAACTGACTGATGAAGGAATAAGGCCATCAAAATTCAGTAGTATTCACATATAAAATATAAAGAAACTAATTATGAGTTTCATAAAACATTTGGAATTTTTATTTTCCATGCAAATAATCTCCACACATAGGGAATTCATGGATCCAGAATCCATTTCTTTAACTGAAGGATACTTTAAATGTAACTATAACTTAGTAGGACAAATTTTTGGAACTGATAAAGAATTGATACTATTACTGATAAGGAAGATGAATTTTGAAACAAGCATTATTTGTTCCATTTTGGGTAAAAATTAAAAGGGAATGTCCTGAGCTTGCTGAAATTGTTTTAAAATCACTTCCATTCCCTTAAACATATCTTTGAGAGACTAATTTCTCTACTATGACTGTTACTGAGTAAAACATAGAAACAGTTTAGATACATAATATCTCCTGCTAGAGGCATTGTCAGCAATCCAACCTAATTTAGGTAGTTTAATACAAGAAACACATTCATTTGTCATGTTAAAATCTAACTACTGACAAATTTAAAACATTAAATATAGCATTTAATATGGGAAAATTGTTCCTTCACTACCAACTTTTTATTTAGTTGTTATGACTCTGGAATGATAAAAAAAAAAACTAACCATGTATTAGCAACTCTTTACATTAATCACCTATATGCACACTTTCAGTGAACAAAGTAGTTTTTGTAGTTTCTTCTTTTATGCTATGTAATTTTTTGTTCTTTGATTTTGAAACGTAATTTTATATCTGTTGAAAATACTAAAAAATGTGAGTTTGGAATTGGTGTGCCTTTTTGTTTTCATTTCATTTTTCAAGTATTTTTAAAGGTTTTATTTTGCAGAAGTATTAATTCATGAAATTAAAAAGAAAAGAAAGGTCCTTCACAGATAGTGTGAGATAACAGTGGCCTAAAAGATTCTCACCTCTCCTCTCATTTTCCTCTATTTAATTTCCATGATTTAAATCACCTCCATATATGTATGTTCTTAGATTCTTTCAGATTTCAAAAAACAGAGATCCACTTAATCAGGATTGTTGATTAGTTTAGGGGGGAAGTGAAAGAGACAAAAAACTAAAAAATAAGAGTCCCTCCTGCTACATTCATGTACTTTGTCATCCATCCAATAGCTGGCTCCCATCCTTCCTGCCTCTGTGAACGTTGTTAGTCTTCATCTCTTTATAATTTTCTCCTGCCACAATGACCCCCTCTTCACGTCATTAATTCACATTCCTCAGGAGAGAGAATATGATTGTTTCCCCTCCTAAACTGTAATTTACATTAGCAGGACCAGATAACATAATTGGCATGACCCAGTGCAAAATGAAAATGTAAGGCCCCTTTTTCACAAATTATTGAGATTTTCAAGATAGTGGGTGTGGAACATTAAACGAACCACAATGCCTTTCTAAATGGAGTCTTATAAAACTGCACAGCTCACCTGCCCATAAAGCCAGCCATGTCCATGACAGTACATCTATATCTGTTCTGCTAACTAGGGTGTCCGCATTCCTAGCATGAGCCCATGACACTGAGCAATCAATTGGGCTTGATACCAAGTGGTACTAGTTTGGGACTATATCATTGTTTTAGTTTCTCCTCCTTCCCTGCCCACTCCCCTTTGCCTTCACTCCTATCTCTCTCAAATTGCACTCAGTCTCTATCTTCTAGAGAACCAAAGCTAAAAGACTTGGCTCCAAAGTGTCCCGAAGACATTCAGGATGGGATATCAGAGTTGGCTT